ACTATTAGTAATTATACAAAACAGCAGGAGTAAACTAGAACTGGCCTGTGAAAAAGACCATGTACGGTTATGCTAAAAATCAGGGATTTGAATACAGGGCTCAGATCCAGGGACCACACATAAGCACTGCTGTTTTCATCCATTTGCCTTCATTTGTCCATTCTGCCATCTCTGCAGCCTGCATCCATGCACTCTCGCTCTCTTGCTCTCTAGTCTTTCCTGTCCACATGCCTTCCAACCCTATATGTAACACAACTGATGTATCAAATTAACGAACTTTGGTTTGTATGTGGACTACTCACAAAACAAAGGTGATTCGAGTCCTCCAGGTCCTCAATAAGGACAAAGGGCTGAGACCTCAAGATTTCCCTAGGGAACAAGGTTAGAAGCACTATCCTGATTTGATGAACCAGAAGAGGGCTCAGTGGTTATGAAGAAAAACAGCTCATGTGCTTTTAGACCCATCTGCAAAAATTGCTGTATGCTTTCTGATGAACAAAAATCTATACTGAACCTGAGTCCTTTGAGAGCTTGGCTGATAAACGACAGAAAGCTCTCAAAGGAATTTTATGCTGCATATCCAAATTCAAAATGAAAGTATTAAAATTGCAAAATGGAAGTGCAGCTGCTTTTGCTCCAAGGTTTATCAGTGATGAGTCACCTATTTTTATTGCATAAGAAATCAAATCTAGTGTTGTAATGAAAACACAATACAGTGAATTTAGAATAATTCTTAGAGCATTGAAGATGTGCCTGTTTGTTCAGGGACACTGAGTCCTTTGAGGCTTCTTGTAAGCACTTTAATCTTCTGTGAGAAAGGCATTTTTTTCAATTTTTGAGGAAAGTTGCTCCATCATCTATACATCCACAATTACTGGTTCAAATTCACCAATTATTATAGAAGCAAGTTACATAAAATGTGCACTTATAATTTATATTTATGTCCCTTTGTCAGCACTAGGTACATATTTACTCTAGATGTAGTTTAAGGCATTAATTTTTTTTTTCTTTTTCTTTTTTTTGTTTTGACTGGTAAGGGATCGCAACCCTCGGCATGGTGTGGTCCGCATCGCGCTCAGCCAGTGAGCGCACCGGCCGTCCCTATATAGGATCCGAACCCGTGGCCTCAGTGCTACCAGCACCGCACTCTCCGGAGTGAGCCACAGGGCTGGCCCTAAGGCATTAATTTTTTAATCTTACCTCTTTGTTATTTACTTAACATATGAGCTTCCCATTTTCCTAAAGACTGTAATTGCATCTAAATTTTACCTAAGGGTTTGGAACAGTTAAACTCAGTGAAGAAGGGTAGGGATTGGGGATTGGATTAGTACAAATGTCTGGTACAGGGAGTGAAAGGAGGAAATAAAAGTCATTTTTAAATTATCTTTGCTACAAAGAAAGAAATAGTGTTTTTCTTTATTTACTCAGGGGTTATGAAGAACCACAATGTCATCGTAGGTATCTGCCTAGGTAGGTTTGAGGTAAATATGCATAATTTTAAATACTTCATATTTTAAAGAATATATATGTTGATAATTTGAAGGCTAGCATTTGAATCCCATCAATCTTTTGTCATATCCCTTTATATAATGAATTCATTGAAAATATCATCTTACTCTAAGAACTACACTGCCAACAGAATAGATTTTTTNTTTTTTAAGTGTTCTTACCATAAAAAAATGAAAAGTATTTGAGGTAATGCATATGCTAATTAGCTTGGTTTAGCCCTTCCACAATGTATACGTATTTCAAAATAACATGTTGTACATAATAAATACATGCAATTTTGATTTGCCAATTAAAAATATAAATATACTACATTCTTAGAATAATTAATAAATAAATGTTTGTTTCTGTGTACTCCCCATTCTGAAGACTATGAAATTTAAAGGACTTGTTGCAAAAATTAGTGATTCTGATTGATTTTTATATTCCTTTAATCTAAACCATGTTCAAAAGTACAATCTAATCAATATAGTCATAATTTAATGGCTATTGTACCTATATAATTGGAAAAGAATGTTTTTCATGAAGTGAGATACATGCATGTATAACTATACAAATTTACAGGTTTATGAATATGGCATTAGACTAGCATTTATTCAGGGTAAAGTAATAAATAGTTGGTACAGAATATGTTTCCTTCATCTGTTATCTATTTTTATTTGCTTATTTGTTTTTTTGTTTTCTACCCAATATATAGAAACAGAGAAATTATTAGACCTCAGGACCCAACAATTTATCTCTTGTGTTTTTTTCTTTACAGTAGAAACCAATTGTGTGACATTCAGAAAACCTTCATTTCTTTTCATCAGTTTTTAGAACAGAAAGGTGAAATAAATTTCTTCTAAAACCCAAGATAACCAAAGTTAGAATAAAAGAATTTGAAAGTAGAGGCACTTAGTTTTGCATATTAAATAAAGCATAAGGGACTCAAAAAAGAATGTGTTACTAATGTGCTGACCTGTTCATCTATATGCAGCAGAAAATTTGGACAGGTGCATTATTTATAGACAATAATAGGTGCATTATTTTAAAAATTAAAGGAACTAAAATAATTAGAGCAGTTATCAACAAAAAGAATGTGTTACTAATGTGCTGACCTGTTCATCTATATGCAGCAGAAAATTTGGACAGTTGCATTATTTATAGACAATAATAGGTGCATTATTTTAAAAATTAAAGGAACTAAAATAATTAGAGCAGTTATCAACAAACAGCATTTAACATTCATAACTAGTTATGTGATACCCAGTACCCTCAACATTGTTACAAAATCTTTTTTCAATCTTAGTATGTTAAATTATTATGTTGATAATGGATATGTATAATAGCCTGAAAGAGCTTTAATAAAATACAATTTTACTAATGTGATGCAATAATATATAACCAATTTAATCTGAACATAAGTTAATGGTGCAGTAATATATTTATACAACTATTATTATTAAATTCTTAAGTTTCATCCTCTCCTGATATAAATTTTAAGTTCTTTTAGAATAAAATTCATTTATGAGGAGGCTAATGACTTTTTACTTTAGCTTTCTTATTTTGAGAGCTTTTACAGTTTTCTCCATCATCTTTCCATTGAAATCCACCACGATGCACTTGAACTTTAATATAGAGCAAGTGTGGACTTATGTAGAAGTTTAATTTTTTAATTTTTACTTATTTTTTCCATTAAAACAATGTATTATACATATTTATGGGGTTCAGAGTTGACTATCAGGATTTGTGTACAGTATGTGATGATAAAATCAATATTATTAGCATGTTCATTATTACAATTCATAATTATTCTTGGTGTCCCTTACCCAATTACTCCCTAACCCTCCCGGCCCTCCCCCTTTCCCACCTCTACTAACTGTAGGTCTGTTCTCTCCTGGAAGTTCAGCGTTTTATTGTGGTCCTGTCTCTGTCTCTTAGCTCCTGTTTATAAGTGAGGACATGTGGTGTTTCTCTTGCTGTGCCTGGCTTATCTCACTTAACATAATTAAAAGTGTTACAAAGTCCATTTATGAACTGCAAATGTGTATAGTCAGTTGAATAAGTGCTAAAGTATTTGTCATCATAGTTATTTACTTATACATAAATAAGGAAGCAGTATATATAATATAAATTTGTATATAACTATTACCAATTATATATATATAATAGTATTATATATAAATTTTTATGTATAATAGTATATATGTATATGTATGTAATAAATATAGATGCAAATATCACCAAACACATCATTTGTGAAATTTTTATATATATTAAAATATTTATTGCTAGTAAAGATAAAATCTTCATTAACATATATGCATTTTTTACTTTCAACTTTAGGGAGAAGTTTTAAGAAATATTTGTTATTATTAATCTATCTGATAAATATTTCTTCCTATTATGTTGGTTCTGTGGTTATGGCATTAATGATACTCCATCATATGGATTTTGATAGTTCTGTATCCCAGAGCAATATGGCATTGTTTTCCATGTCTTCATGGTATTCCATCTAATCCATGAAAATTTTGTTCCAAAGATGAAGTTCAAATGAACATACAGAAAATTTGTTCTGAAGACAAAATTCAGATTTAAACGTGAATTTCAATCTATTAGTCAAGTGCTTTAATCAAAATATTTAACAAAAAATACAGCAAGAGCATCTAACAATTGGAATGGAAGCCAACCATGAACAACCATTATGGCAGTACCTATTGGTACTCTCAGAATGTCCACTTAGTCATTGACCATCATTGTATGATTCCTGCTGAAAGCAACAAAAAGCTAGATTGATAAGTAAAAGAATTAGCAACTTTGATGAAAAATATTGTCTAATAATAAGAAATAAGTCTAGTCTATTTTGTTGCTCTGATGAACATAATTTTGACTTGGTATTTTATTTTGGATATAGTGCAAGGTTTAATTTGATAGATTTTGATTATACTGAAAAATAAAGCAAGATTAGCTGATATTACTATTTCTTTTTTTAATAGTGGCTAGCATTCAGAAGCTTCCTGCAGCCTCTGTTCTAACAGACATCAACTTCCCGATGAAAGGACGGAAGGGAATGGTTGACTGGGCAAGAAACTCAGAAGATAGGGTAGTCATTCCAAAAAGTATTTTTACTCCTGTGTCATCAAAAGGTAAGTAAATAAAATAATTCGAGCTTTGAACAAAATATTTCTGATAATATCATTTAAAGACACATGAGGTATAAAGCTCCACACATTAAACAATTTGAAAACCCTCTGCAATCATGATTCAAAACGAATTTTGTAAATATAGACAATATATACCTGGTTTTTAAAACTCTGAATTTACTGGTGGAAAGGATCTGTTCAAGTGGGAAAAAATACAAGTGCAAATTATTGACCTGACTTTGACGTAGTCAAGGTTCAATATTAAGAGTCTTATCCCAGGATAAATCATTTGATCTAATATTTTAACTTTAAGTATTAAAATATTTTCCATGCAAAGTCACTTTTATTTCTACCTCACGTTAAAATTTGCTTTGGTTTGAAGATATTATCATGATATATAAAAACAAATTTTTTAAAAAATTAAGTTCTAAGAACATATTTAGTAGCCTCTAAAATTAATGGCTATTTTCAAAAGCAGCATTGTGATCTTGTTTCTCACTTTGGAGATTTTCACCTTAAAACTTAATGCCCCAAAAGAGAATTGGCTTTCTTTCCCCATATCTTTGGAAATTTAAAATCTTTAAATGCAGCTAAAGCGGCTTTTTTTCTCAGACTAATAAGGAAAAGTTTTCTTCATGATTCAAAACCATAAAAAACACATTTTAGCTACTATTAATGTGCAGGGTGTGTGGGCTAACCTGCCCCATATGTGGTTAGAAATGCATTTCTTCTACCCAGTTTCATCTTTGTGTCAGCAAGTACTGGAATCCCCCAGTAATTAATAAATTAAAGTTTTATAAGACATAGTATTTTTTTTGCTGTTTGACTAATATTTTTAATTGTATTCTTTCTAGAATTAGATGAATCATCTGTGTTTGTTCTTGGAGCAGTCTTATACAAAAACTTAGATCTAATTTTGCCCACTTTAAGGTAAGATACAAAGTAATAAGCTGTTGTAATCTTTTAAAATTATTCCAAAATGTGATTATAGCTCATTCAATGAAATTAGTCAAACAAGCTTTGATAATACAAAGGGCCTTTTCTTAAATGAAATAGAAAATACCAACTTAATGAACAGGTTATTAGCATATTATGCATTTCAAAACAACTAGAAAAGACAATTTTGGTGTCTGATTATACCCCTGCAATTCTTTTGTAACTAATCACGACTTGCCTTAAGACTGGAAAAAAAGAAAGAAAAAGAAAAACCTCAAGCCCATGTAATAGAATGGGTCATTATAAAATTAATCTGTTTTATTCCTTTTTTATGCTTAATGGTACTGTTCATTAGCTTTACATGAAATTAAAGGAGTGTCATGATTACTGGGAAAACACGCTTTTGTTCTTTGTTTGCATAAGATCTCAATTTGCTCTGAAATATTTTCAATTGCAATTACATTACGAAAAATGCTGTTGTTCAATCAGGGGACTATTTTTGGAAGAAATCCATTAATTTTTTTACTCCCAGACATTAAAAACAATTACAAATAGTAATTCTACCAACATTAATTTATTTGCTCTGCTGTCTTATCAACTGTACCAAATTTCACAGAAAACATCATTAATATCTATTTGCCTAGTGATGTTATCAATCATGTTGACCTGATTCCTCCATACCATCTTATTTTGAAGGACTGAAAAAAAGCTGTATTTTAGAGAAACACAGCCACAATTGCACTGAGTGCTTCATCTCACCCTCAAAAATAAAGTTTTAAGTTTATAAAGAGGTGAGAATTTGAATGATGTGTACAGTTATACCAGGGGTACAAAAAATAGTCTAATAAATAGTTAGCATTCAGTTCAGCCAGAAAAGATCTGCCAAGGAAACCACAGTGACCAGTCATGATTCTTTGAGGAAAATCTTTCTGTCTGAACACATTATTTATCTAGGTGGTAAGTCATTCAGTCTCTATTGATACAGTAAGGCTTCTCCTTTAGCCATAGAGACAACCTTAAGAGGTTGAGTTTTCTCTCATTCTCTTCTCCTCTGGATGAAATTTGGGCTACACAAGTTTGGATAGATTTTGTTTGGTTTTGTTTGGCTAATTAAAAATTCTGAAAACTAATAAGTTTATTTTTAACTTTTCTACCGGTTTTATTAAAACACATTGGTATATACAGTTACAGATAAAATTTACTCATAGTTATAGTGACTGCGTCTTTGCATATGATGTTTGTGTGAGGAGAAATGTGTTACATTTTAAAGTGCATGGGAGTTCATTTATATAAAGTTTACCTTTTAAGACTTTTAGACTGTATACTAACTTAAAATCAGGTGTTTTTTTAACATTTCAATTTAACTTGACAAGAGTTTTATAAACTTGTCCAGTTATTCAGCAATTGTCTGCCTTCAGTTCAACTTTAAAATAGGGGCACATTTCTGTGCGACATTCACTCTGTTTCCGTCTGAGAGATACAATTAATGCAAATAAAATATTCAACATAAAATGTTTTAGTAATCTAATTAGCTTTTCTCCTAGATGTCTAACAAAGTTGCATTATGATTCATCTTGTTCCGTATAATATTTCAAATTTCATAAATCTATGCAGTTAAGGAAATTGAAAATTTATCTAAGGATATCAACCTTTTTGTAAAAAGAAAAAAGCACTTAGTGTTACAGCTTTTTTTCTTAATTCATTGCAGAGACAGTTGTCATTTACAGCTTATGGAATGATTAATGTATCTTGTTCCGTATAATATTTCAAATTTCATAAATCTATGCAGTTAAGGAAATTGAAAATTTGTCTAAGGATATCAACCTTTTTGTAAAAAGAAAAAAGCACTTAATTAGTGTTACAGCTTTTTTTCTTAATTCATTGCAGAGACAGTTGTCATTTACAGCTTATGGAATGATTAATGGATATATTAGGAGTGATTCAACGTATATAGCAGAGAATAGTCGGGAGGAGTGGCTCTCCTAATACCACCTGTGACACAAATGAATTCAGATAGGCCCTTGAGCAAATCACCGACTGTTTTATATGTAAAATGTGGGAATTGAATTTAAAGGTTCTTTTCAACTTCAAAAATTCTATCTTTAATGCAGAGAGTTTCTACATATTTTTTAGAGTAAAATCCTTAGTAACCTCTGGCTAAGAATTATAAATATGTCTGGGTCCATATTTTCTATCTATAAAGTAATTTGGTAAATGGCTTTAGGAAAATTATAGTCATATTTAGATCATCAATCAGAAATAATGATGATAGAATACTCAAGATGAAATGTTTAAGTACCCCTTGAAAGGTGAAATACTAGTGTTTACTTCTCATTTTCTTTTACTTCATATATTAAAATAGTGTACTCATTAAGTACTCTCAGGCTTGTTTTTCTTCTTTTCAAAAAAATTCTTCTGTACCAACTATAGATGTGCTAACTAAGAATATGCCTTTTAATGAACAGGGGTAATTCTTTCTTTCACAGTCATTCAGCAAACATTTGCTGAGCAGCAACCATTTGCTGAGCAGCAACCTTGTTAATGGTACTTTATTAATTCTGTTAAATCTCCTCCACTGTCAAAACTCCCAGAACAATGCTTAAAAAATAATAAAAGATCAAGGAATTTTTGCTGAAATAATTAATTGTCCTATCTGATAGAATATTCTATATAAGCAATTTTTTTAAAATAAGATACATAGAAATTTAATGTTTCTCCTGTGAAAATATTTTAGGAATAGAGGAATA